ATGCCACGGCCTACCTGAGCATTGTTTCTGACCATGTCCATCCCTTCATGGCAACCACGTACCCATCCCCTGATGGCTACTTGCAGCAGGATAATGCGCCATGTCTCAAAGCTCGAATCATTTCAAATTGGTTTCTTGAACATGACAATGAGTTCACTGTACTAAAATGGTCACCAGATCTCAACCCAATAGAGGATCTTTGGGATGTGGTGGAGCTTTGTGCCCTGGATGTGCATCCCACAAATCTTCATCCACTGCAAGATGCTATCCTATCAATATGGGCCAACATTTTTTAAAGAATGCTTTCAGCACCTTGTTGAATCAATGTTATGTGGAATTAAGGCAGTTCTGAAGGTGAAAGGGGGTCAAACACAGTATTAGTATGGTGTTCCTAATAATCCTTTGGGTGAGTGTATGTGATCACACGTTGACGTGATTGGTTACAAGGAAGTTTGTGATGTTAGAAACACCAGCGATTTCTCGTTTTTGGGGGCTGTCTTTGGTTCACTGCAGTTTTAAGGACAAAATACTTGGCAATGATTTAGACATGAATTTGTACTCCGTGAAGGTACGCATTTACCAATTTCAAATGTACATCAAAAGAGAATGTCACTGTCTTTGACGAAGCAAGCAAGAGCCAATGAGCGCTTGATCTTGAGACAAAGAATTAATTATACATTATGCATTATCCACATTAATTATGAATCTGCTTAGTTCTTAGTAGTCGATTAGCTAACAGTTAAGCTAACAGTAACAGTAAAGTACTGCATTCAACTGAGTTCTATTACTTACTGATTTGTTAACTGGAATTTATTTTTCATTAATAGCTATACTAAAATGTTAATATTGCGTCACTCATTTGTTCCAAGTAATTTATGAAGGAACATTATCATCAAGTGTTACCAAATGTCATGTGGTGCAACTCTCTAAAAACATAATAATATTTATGAAATGATATCCGTGATAATTATACCTTAAAAATATATTTAGAATTGTTGAAGATAATGAATCATTATTTTGAACACTCTAATCAAAATATATTATTACTTTTTTACTTTATAGTTACACCACATGACGTTTTTAGAGTCATTATAAGTAATCCTTTCATGAAAATAGTATGAATGTACTTGGCACACTTTTAAAAACACAATCATATTTCAGATTATCTTTAATATGCTAATATTTTGGAAAACTTTTTAACCGGCCTTCATTTTGTGTTTTGTGTACTGGTAGTTACATTATCCCTGGAGGGGTTTGTGTCCATTCAGGTGAAGAGAACAGACATCTCACTATATTTTTCAAAGACAGCTCTTCAAAAGAGACAAGTGTATGAATCTTTGATGGTAACCTTTCCCAGAATACCTCTCCATCTCTCTTTCATTCTCTATTTCAACCCCCAGGCAACAGGATACACTGTAAAGCTTGATGTCTGCAGGCACCGTTACAGAACTTATCAAATGTGTCTTTCCATCCTTTCATCCAACAAAATACAAGTTTCTTTGCAAATGAACCTCTTGAATGCTTAAATGTAATTTTTTGGGTAAAATTGTTCATGTATAATGTTGGCACACTTGTTTTATTTAAATATGTTTTATTTAAAGATGAACTGTGTAATTTTTTTATGTCAAAACTCAAAACACTTTATACCAACTTAATATGCAAAGGCAATTAATTAATAGCCCGATTCCCCCAAAGAGTGTAAGCACTGAAATAAACTGAAACAGCAACACTGATTCAACCAATAGTGTGAGCTTGGGGGCGGGTCTATGTGTTTGTCCAACCAATGGCAGATAGCAGTGTTGTAGTCGAGACCACCTCACTCGAGTCCGAGTCGACACCGAGACCAGAGAGAGTAGAGTCCGAGTCAAGACCAAGTCCATAGAGAGTCGAGTCCGAGTCGAGTCCGAGACCAGAGACGGTCGAGTCCGAGTCGAGACCAAGACCAGTGAGGGTTGATTACCTGAGGTGCGTTCCATTTGACCGTAAGTGGACTGCGAAGTGGACTTCACAGGGTATTTCGCCATCTTAAGTGAGATTCCAATTCGAAGGGAACGAACATGTTCAGTTCGAAGGGCACTGCAAACGGCATAGGGAATAAGGGAACATCGATACATCACTTAACAGGAAGTCAGTGAAGTCCACTTCAACTGATATACCGTGTTCAGGGAGTAGGGAGCAGTGAACACTGCGTAAGGACCCTGTCGAATGGAAGGCACCTCTGATTTACTTTTATTTAGAGAAATCCTTTTTTTTTTTTTTTACTGAATTTACTTGGAGTTTAAAAAATATGATCAGTTTAGGGTAAAAAGGCCACATAGTAGGTGGTGTTAAAAGTAATTTTATTACAATTTGTCATGTGCAGTTGCGCACTAGAAAATCACCAATCACTGGGCATGTCAATCAATTTAAAGAAATATTTTATTAATATACATTAATAATCATGAAAAATATTTTTAATTGAACTCGAGTGGACTCGGGAATAATTCCGAGTCCTAAAAAAAAATGTTTGAGTACGAGTCAATTCCGAGTCCAAATGGACACGAGTCCATGACAAGACCAAGACCATTAAAATATGGTCTCGAGACCGAGTCCGAGACGAGTCAGAGTCTTGAGTACTACAACACTGGCAGATAGAATAGAGTAGAAATACACACTTGAAGTGTACTTCAAAATGTGAAAAATAGGCTTTTTACATTAAAAAAAATAGCTTGCAGATAATACAATATTAATAAAATAAAAGGCCTCTTTTAAAAAGTGTTCTTTGTATTAATGTCAAATTAAACGTTTTAATTTAAAGTACATCTTAACATCTTTTGTGACACCTATTTTGATTTGTTGACTCTTAAACTAATGTCACGTTTTTAGTTTGTTTTTGATCTGTTTTTCTGTTCTGTTCTAGCCAGAGTTTCATTGACTTATAAGCGCATTCATGCAAGCTCATGTTTACATGCACGGTTTCATGTTTACATGCACACCTTTTGTTTCAATCGGAATGATCTGAAACGTGAAACTGATTAGGAGACGACGAGCACACGAACCGTTATGCCGTGCTGTGCTGCTTAAATGTATCAAACAGTAAAAACACCCCTTCACACACCCAAAATAAAGTGTAATGAAGTGAGGGCTGATGGGGCGTTGTTCTGCTCCACCTCACAGACAATAAGTGGTAGGAGAATTTTAGAATAACATGAGATAACATGAATAACATGAGATAACATTAAACATGAGATAACATGAGATAACATTAAACATGAGAATAACATGAGATAACATTAAAGAGCACCTATCATGGATTTTTGAAAATGACTGTTCATGTAGTGTGGACTATAGCTCTAAGGCAGGGGTGCCCAATCCTGCTCCTGGCGATCGACTGTCCTGCACAGTTCATCTCCAACCCTAATCAAACACAGCTGAAGTAGCCAATTAAGGTCTTTAGGATCACATTCAGCTGTGTTTGATTAGGGTTTAAGATGAACTGTGCAGGACAGTCGATCGCCAGGAGCAGGATTGGGCACCCCTGCTCTAAGGGAATGAAAACATCCTGCAAAGATTTATATCTGAAAGTGCACCGTATATAAAGTTATTGTCTTTCAAAAGTGAGAGTCGACTCTGAGTCTATGAAATGAATTGTTTTTGAAACGAATCATTAGCTGTTACATCGTGACGCAGATAGGTCATTGGCCGCTCCCAACAACTGCGCGCGCAGACGGAAGTGTAAACTTGAAGTGACGTCTAGAACACATTCAAATACTTCATTTGAATCGCATCATGTCGAGAAGACGCTGTGTTCTACATTGCAAAGACAGTTCGGCCACTTGTTTCCATTGTCCAGGGACGAGCATGTGAAGAATCAGTGGTCAGAGTTCATATTTGCAACAGTATAGCCCGAACCTTGTGTTCTCATCATTTTAATGACGAATCATTCAAAATTCAAAAACCTAAATGAATTCAAATGTGTTGATTCACAAGCCGGTTGTTCCTGAAGGAGGGCTCAGTATCCAGACATGGATCTGGTTCGTCCTCCTCCGAATCACAATCTGTAAGTAATATTAATAATGTTTGCTGTTATGTTTTCTGTAGCATGCACAATATAGTTATATTGTGTTGTGTGTGTTGTGTACACTCCGCGCAGTTTCTAAGCGGGATAAAGTTAGTTTTGTTTTTGATATTCACCAGACATTCATTGAAAAATGGCAATTACCTCCTAAACGACTTAGCCAAATATGACTTCGCTCTATATAATAAGCACTGCCCTTCAAAAGCCACCGCAATGTGAGTTTCGCCAGGAAAGCTTGTTCTTGACGGAGACGCGAGTAAGGGACCGTGTGGAAAGTGCAATTTTTCTGACACGTTGGTTCAAACACTATATACAATTTTCAACACTTGACAAGCTACGTATAATCCTGGTTATGTGCGTTCCGTTGCCGACAATCTCTGCCTACGGTTTGCCAATAACAACTGACTGGGTCTTTTGACCAATCGCTGCAGATTCGCGTCACTCAAAGGAGGTGTTTGGGAAAACGAATCATTTGGGAGTCGTTGAGCAAATCAGTTAAAAATAAATGCATATTATAATACAAATAAAGTGTTTTTTATCCTTGCATGCACGTTATGTTTTTGGGAACTCCTAAAACAAAAATAGGAACATTTCAAATGCTATGATAAGGGCTCTTCAACTATGCTATGATAGGGGCTCTTACGCTATGATAGGGGCTTCAAATGCTATGATAGGGGCTCTTACGCCATTGCTACGTCACATGCAGAGTCCTTTCCAGTTTCAGTTTTCAATCCGATCAAGTGTTTACATGTTCTCACGATCGGATTAGAAATGGAATAAAATATCCCTTTCAATCCGATCAAAATTTCAGTTGAATCGAGCTCAACCGTTTGCATGAAGGATTTTCAGTCTGATTGATTATTTGTCAAGACGATTATTTGGTTGCATCATTTAACATGTTAATTAGTTCAGTTCATCTTTTGTTCCCTACTTGTTTGCCACCATGGTCACTGAGGTGAGCAGGAGGCCGGAGGCCGAGGGCCGTGAGAGAACGGCGGGAGACCAGTGGTGTGATTGATGATGAGTGACACCTGCGTGACGTACCGCTCTCGTATCAGGTGATGACAGTGAAGATCAAGAGAGGAACAGGCCTGAACTGTTTTATTTGATGTTTTGTTTATATGTGGCAGCACTCGTCTGTGAAGGGCTGCCGTCTTTACTTGTTATTTAGTTTTGTATTGTGTAGCTTAGTTTTGTTATTTGTTTTATTATTATTAAAATCCCATAACAACGATCTTTGTTACAGTTACCCATTGATTCGGTTCCTCAGTTCAGGTGTTGTGTTTATTATCTAGTTAGTTTCTCACTCTTTTTGTTCTGTATTTAAGCCCTCTGTTTCAGTTAATTCCTTGTTTTGCATCGTTAATGTAATGCATGGACTTGCCAGCAGTCCAACTAATCTGTCCTCTCCTGTGAGAAAAATTCCTGAGTCCGCTCCAGTGAGAGACTCTGTTCCATTGTGAGAACGTCTATGTGAGAAAGTGAAAAATTCTCCAGTCTGTTCCAGTATGAGAAATTCCCCAGTCCATTCTAATTGTGAAATTCACCAGTCCATTCCAGTGAGTGAAATTTCAGAGCCTGCCCTTCCGGACTGCCCTTGTGGGATCGAAGAAGTGGTCCTTATCATTTATCTTGCTGCTACTATGTTTGTTTGGGCCACAGTGATGAGTCTAGTAATGGCTTCAGCCCCTGACCAGAGTCCGGTGATGGCTACAGCCCTAGACCAGGGTCCAGTGATGACTGCAGCCCCCGACCAGAGTCTAGTGATGGCTCCAGGCTTCGACCAGAGTCCAGTGATGGCTCCAGCCCTAGATCAGAGTCCAGTGATGGCTCCAGGGCCCGACCAGTGTCCAGTGATGGCTCCAGCCCTAGACCAGAGTCCAGTGATGGCTCCAGCCCCCGACCAGTGTTCATTGATGGCTCCAACCCCCGACCAGAGTCCAGTGATGGTTCCAGCCCCCGACCAGTGTTCATTGATGGCTCCAACCCCCGACCAGAGTCCAGTGATGGCTCCAGCCCCAGACCAGAGTCCAGTGATGGCTCCAGCCTTAGACCAGAGTCCAGTGATGGCTCCAGCCCCGACCAGAGTCCAGTGATGGCTCCAGCCCTAGACCAGAGTCCAGTGATGGCTCCAGCCCTAGATCAGAGTCCAGTGATGGCTCCAGCCCCAGACCAGAGTCCAGTGATGGCTCCAGGCCCGACCAGAGTCCAGTGATGGCTCCAGCCCTAGATCAGAGTCCAGTGATGGCTCCAGCCCTAGACCAGAGTCCAGTGATGGCTCCAGCCCTAGACCAGAGTCCAGTGATGGCTCCAGCCCTAGACCAGAGTCTAGTGATGGCTCCAGGCTTCGACCAGAGTCCAGTGATGGCTCCAGCCCTAGATCAGAGTCCAGTGATGGCTCCAGGGCCCGACCAGTGTCCAGTGATGGCTCCAGCCCTAGACCAGGGTCCAGTGATGACTGCAGCCCCCGACCAGAGTCTAGTGATGGCTCCAGGCTTCGACCAGAGTCCAGTGATGGCTCCAGCCCTAGATCAGAGTCCAGTGATGGCTCCAGGGCCCGACCAGTGTCCAGTGATGGCTCCAGCCCTAGACCAGAGTCCAGTGATGGCTCCAGCCCCAGACCAGAGTCCAGTTATGGCTCCAGCCCTAAACCAGAATCCAGTGATGGCTCCAGCCCTAGACCAGAGTCCAGTGATGGCTCCAGGCCCCGACCAGAGTCCAGTGATGGTTCCAGCCCCCGACCAGTGTTCATTGATGGCTCCAACCCCAGACCAGAGTCCAGTGATGGCTCCAGCCCTAGACCGGAGTCCAGTGATGGCTCCAGCCCCGACCAGAGTCCAGTGATGGCTCCAGCCCTAGACCAGAGTCCAGTGATGGCTCCAGCCCCAGACTAGAGTCCAGTGATGGCTCCAGGCCCGACCAGAGTCCAGTGATGGCTCCAGCCCTAAACCAGAATCCAGTGATGGCTCCAGCCCTAGACCAGAGTCCAGTGATGGCTCCAGGCCCCGATGTGGTGTGTCGGATGTCCGTGCTGTTCAGCTCAAATGTGTCAGTGTCATTTGTGTAGCTTTCCATTGGCAGTGCTCTCAGGCCCTCGGTGAAGTACAATATTATCACACATATAGACCTTATGTAGCCCCGCCCCTTTTCAGCGCTGCGTTGTCTTTTGACTTTTGGATCTGCATTTTCACAGCGATCTTGCTTAGGTATGAATGAACTGCTCGTAAAAATTCCCGGGCTACATTTATTAAGACATCTGCTTTACAATGCTTATGATAAACATTACAATGCTCATGATAACTTTTGTTAACTCTACAATAAGCAAATCCACTTCACCAGCTAATTACTCCTCAGCAGTGATGCCATAGAAATATACAGAGCGACCGCAAAACCGGAAGTTCAAAGACAATATTCTAAAAATGACGGCGCCCACGTTTCTCTGGTGCATAAGGTCTATAGTCAATGAAATCAGAGTCAATATACATGTGCTCTTACACAAACCACACATTCCCGGTACCCGGAAGGGGTGCCATGGTCTCGGACGCTCATTTGCTCTGTCTGCTTGATCAGTCCTGCAGTTGTCAGTAAGTGTGAGGGAGTTCAGTTCTCAGAGCCCTTATAGTCTTATCTGCTTTGTTGATTAACGGTGTCCAGCCAGGTGCTGTTTGAGCGAAGAGCACTGCCTGTTCCTCCAAGTCTCCTCCCTGCAGTCGATATCTCGTTCCACTCAAACACACAACTAGAATGCAGGGATCTGTGGTTAACACGTGAACCCACGTAGCCCTCTCTGCGACCTTCACCGCTGTGTGAGACCCCACAGAGGAGGATGGCGAGGAGCACCATTGTTATCTGTCAGCACTTGAACAGGTGTGCATCCCACTTCTGACACCAACTTGTTGAGGCAAAAATTCAATAAACAGACATCACCACGTAAAAGACACTCAGGGCTCTATCTTGCACCCGGCGCAAATGACTTTATACACTGACGCATTTATCATTCCTATTTTGCACGCGCGCAAAGCGGGTTTTTTTCCTCCACAGACGCACGTCAGTAAACTAGGAAATGAACTTGCGCTCCCTGGGCGGGTTGGCGCAAAAAGGAGGCGTGTGTTGGCGCAAACAATTCCTAGTGCTATTTTGCAGTTCCAGAAAACAATTGCACCAATGACCAGAAAAAACCTGGTCTAAAGTCAATGGCGCGTTGCGCTTTGTTCATAATGCTATTTTAAGCGCGCCTGCTTGGCCATAATACAGAGAGTGAACAACGCGCATACATTGTAGATGATTCTCTCATCTACACAGATGCATTTTAATTTTTGCAAATGATACATTATTATAAGAAAAAAATATATAAACATGAGGGAAATCATTGTTGTGTCCATGATGATGGGGAAAAATAGGCATAAAACTTACACATTTACCCAAGTAGGGGTATTATTATATGCAAGTTTAACCGAAGCTAATTTGGGTGGGTTTGTCCCATCCCCAATGTCCCTTCTCTTTCTTTTACGGCCCTGACGAGAACATCGATCTCCTCAGCTGTGAACCGATTGTGAAGTGCGTCTGGTAAATGCGCCGTTAAAATAGAATTGCGCCATGGAACAAGCGCACCTCGTTCATCATGATCTTTAAGGGAATGTGATACGACGCTCTTATTGGGTTGTTTTCGTTGCGCCCAAACCACACCTATGAATAATGAAGCTACTTCAGACCAACCCCTTTTAGATTTGCGCCAAGAGGCATTCATCCCGCCGGGAAAATAGCAACAGCGCCGGGATCCGCCCACAAATTTACTTGCGCTTTGACACTTGCGTTTTAGATCGTTAAAATAGGGCCCTCAGAGTCAAATTAATAAAAGGTAAAAAGGTTTATTATTCTTGCAAGAACAATAAGGCTCAGTCACCAACACAGATTACTGCGAAGTGAAATGACGCCCCGAACACAGGCCAGAGTACATTCTTATATCTCTCTCAAGGTTATTTACTTCAAGCCCAGCCTTCCCTGTAAAATTCCACAAGCTATAGGACTCATTAGCTGGGTTAGATTTACCGCTAACCCCCTCTATCCTCCTCAGTCTAAGATGACCTCGGACCCAGATTTCTGGCACCTCACTTCACACTTGATAAAGGAAAGACCACCTCCTTCACAGATAGCTAAACCATAAGACATTCCTCAGTTATTACACAGAAAATTCTGTTTTTTGGAAAAACTCCCTGTTAGTTAAAATCAACTCAATCTGAGTGTACATAAGCCTGGCATGCCAGTGTTAAAACACGCTCCTGAACACCAATGAATGAACTCCAAAATACAACATAGCCGGGGAGTATCCAAAAACACAAACTGTAGACAGAGTTAAAAAAATAACTCAAAAAAATTAACCCTTTCACACTTTTTTTGCCTAACTTATGATTTTTCAAGTCCTGAAATTTGCTGTACGCTACATATAGGAGGTGAACAGATAATATAAAATAGAAAACCATAAGATCCAATAGTTATGTAATACATGTGAGATTAACATTTTTTCCCAACAGCCCTTTTGTCTTATTTCCTGCTTTGTTGGGGGGTTAATTTATGTACAGTATATTACATGTGCAGCAGCAGCATGTCCTAAGAATGTAGCAGTAGCATAGCAGATCTATTCCACCAAGACCAAATACATAACATTTCCATATCCATTACCATGCCAATCTCTATTACCACACCAATTTCCTGAGAGTTGTCATGACAGAAAGATATTTATAGTTACCAGTGTTGGGTAAGTTACTCTAAAAAAGTAATTAATTACTAGTTACTAATTAACTCTTCAACAGTGCTAATTACTCTCTCTAAAAAGTATTTAATTACTTTTAATTACTAATTACTTTCAAAATCGCATATCAATCTCATCCAGCTGAATAATACAAGGATAGCTATGAATCTGTTTTAATTCTTTCAAAGAAATGCTATAAAATTGCATGAACTATATCCTTTAACTGACCAAGGTGGAGAAGGTTACATTATAAAAACATACTTTTTAGTATCAGACAATACATTTTGATGTTAAACCCACTATTGTTTTATGTCTGATCTCATGACATTTCACACTTTTTTCATACATATTTTACAATAGTTGGGTTGAATAATTCATACGAATTTGTACGAGTGCGGTCGTAATATTTAGACACCTCATAAAATGCATATGAATCGCTGTGAGATCGGATTTATCTATACACAGTATTTACCTCAATTACATCAGAAGTAACTGTAATTAAATTACAGATAAATTAAGAGTAATCCCTTACTTTACATTTTCAGGGGAAAAGTAATTAAATTAAAGTAACTAATTACTTAGTAATTAGTTACACCCAACACTGATAATTACCATAATTCCTTGAGTACATTCAGCGGTACATTTTAACCATTTCAACAAATAAAGTAGTTTGGAAATTTATATAAAGACGTAAGTGGGTTAATAAAGCACACTAAAGTTCAGCTATAATTACATTCAATATACAATTTTAATAGACAATAGAGAGAATGACAACTGAAATATATCTCATCCAAGTAAATTGTGGCCAAATGTATGACCAGTGTTGTTCCTTGCTGATGTACTGCTGTGCTTCATATCCAGACTAAACAAACCATCATAATTTCAGTATAAGCCTTGGCAATTGTGTATGTATTCAATTAAATTTGATCAGTGATGCAAACTGTTGTCATTTGATGGGTGGTTGTTTTTCTGTCTATCATTATTTGAGAGGGAGTTTACTTAGTGGGTCTGGCTGTCTCTTATCCTCCTGCTCGACAGAGCTCTCATCTTCATTTACACAGGTGCTACAGTATTTACAAAAGAGACCTGTGCTAGCAGTTGCTATACACATATAGACATATACGTCTGCAAATACACGCTCCACCCTCTTTGTAAGTTTCCTGCCATGGTGTCAAAATTATAGCACATAATGCAAGTCTAACACAGACCCAGACTGTCTAAACGGGTTATATGATCCTGTGATGCAGAAATGATAGCTCAGTGTTTTCCAAACATTAGGCTGCTTTTGAAGATGGGCGTGTTTGCACACATAAACCCACACGCATAAACATACAGACATAAACACACCCACACACCTGCAGAATAAATACTGTAAGGATTCATCTGCAATGAGTCAGTTCACCTAATTCACCTAAATATCTACATTCTATCATTCGCCCTGATGACTCGTTCATACTCACAACGACATATTCTCGCTCTTTTCCATGCCATTACAATGAATGTGAAGTGACATTTTAAAGCTTGAAAAAAAGATCCAAAAGCACCCCAAAAATATTACAAAACCCATTCACTATTTCATATTCTGAAGCAATATGACAGATTTGAATCGAATTATAAAGTACCGCTATTATGCTTTTTTAAAGGGTTAGCCTAGTTCACCCAAAAATGAAAATCATCCCATCATTTACTCACCCTCAAACTAGGTGAATATGACATTCTTCTTTCAGGCAAGCACAATCAAGTTACGTTAAAAAAAAATGTATTGGCTCCATACGACTTCAGGCGGTTAATAAAGGCCTTCTGAAACAAAGCAATGCATTTATGTAAGAAAAATATCCATATTTACAACTTTATAGAATCACCAATTGCTTCGGGTAACAGCCAGATGCAAAATTTGGCACTTTAAGTCATCAGTCACTAATTCTCATCATTATCCCTTTGCAGCGAGCTGTTAAGTGTTGTGACCAGATCATGGAGATCTAGATGAGTCCAGTTTGTGAGCATATCATTTCGACTGTTTTTGAGAACTGGATTGCCTGGTTATTTGGAAAAAGGTCTGATGATGAATGATTTATTTACGAATCCGATGATTGTTTTCAGTTACTTTGCTTCTGTTTCAGAAGAACTTTCTGGATCTCCTTTTGA